AAAAGAGAAATTCTACTAAGAAATTATCTATAGCTAAAATAACTCAAATATATCATGTGACTTTTCTTGGCAAGATCGGGTGATTGTGGCACAGTAAGTCACGTGTGGCACAGTATGTGGCGCAGTAATGATCTGTGAAATAAAAGATAAATATTATATAATTACTAATTACTAATCTAATTTTGTTACAATAATTAAATAATAATATATTTATTTGAATTAAATTACTAAATATCAAGATAATATATCTTAATATTTTTGTTAATTATTAACAATTAATTATTAAAAATATATTAAATATGATATTTTAATCTGTAATAATCTAATTCAATTATTTATCTTAAATAAATAATTCAAATTAATATTTACTCAATATTAAATTAGTAAATATTAAAATATTTCTAATTTATTTTTATTAATATCAAAAAATTAATTTATTCTAATATTTAATAATTAGTTTAAATAAAAAATATTATTATTTAATTTATCTTGTTTATATAATTAAATAGTAATATTTTTATTCAAAACTAATTACTAAATATTAAAGAATCAAAATACTTGATATTAAAATATATATCATAAAATAATTAATTATATTTGAGATATAAGAGTTTTTATAAATATCCAATATTTAATATAAAATTTTACTAATCCATAAAATATAAATAATTAGTATTTATATTATTTCTTATATTTAGAAAATTTCATATTATTATATATAATTTTTAAAAAGTTATTGAGATATAATTACTTATAATTTACTATATATTTATATTACTATTAATTTTTTTGAACTTTATTCTTTTTTGAATTATTTTTTTTTTCTTTTATTCTGATTTCGCTTATATTATTTGCTTATATCTTTATTTTCTTTTGATTCTCTTGTTTTATAATTTATTTTCAGTTTGTATTTTGTTCTCTTATAAATTTCTCTACTGTTTAAATAAATAATTTTATGCTTATTTATATTAATATCTTTATCACATTCAGTAAAAAAGAGTACTTGCGAATATAATATTTCAATAAAAAAATCTCTTTTGACTTCCAATAAAGAACTTTGTCAACTAAATTAGTACTAGAAAAGTTTAATTAGAAAAATAATGAAAAAAATAATCTGGACTGATGAGTTCAAATTTGCATTTTTTTGAAACAGATAATAATATTAATCTTATTCTTTTTTTTGATTGATTATCTCTCATTATTAGAAGTTCAGGAAAAAATAAAATGTTTATGAGAATAATGCTCATACTTTTCATAAATTCTATTCAGAAAAAATTAAAGTGCCTTGGGAAAAATTCGATTTTACTCACCTATTTAATCAAACCAATCGTACCGATGTCCTGTATGCGAATCTCAGCCATTGTCTCCACTTCGTTCCATATTTAGTTATAGGATATTTCTCGGCAAAAGTTGGACGTGAAAAAAAGCGGACTCGTACCTAGAATCGAATCTTTAGAAGCATGACTCAGGGATAGTGACGTAGATTGTTGATTATGTGACTTGTGACAGTCTTTCAGTATTAATCTACAGGAAAACAAAATTCTTCTTCCTCTTCAGCTGGTGGTGTTGTGATAACCATTTGTTGCTGATTTTTCATGACTGATCTATGAATAGTGAGATTTTCAAGAGTCTCAATATCTGTGAAATTAAATAATGGTTCGAATGTAGAAATCACAAGATGAATTCGCTTCTCTTTTATCTACAATTATGATGGGTGAATTTTTAATAATTGTTCTTTATCCTTCTATGCTATATCATACATATTTTTTACCGCTTTTTTTCGAAATAAAATATAGTAAAAATAGAAACACGAAGAAAGCCATACTGCAGCAATTGTTCCTGGTGTTTGAACTTTTCTCATATGTTATTCACCACAATTGGCTATGAAATATTAGTGTTGATGATATTAACTGTATTGTCTGTCTCCAGATGCTTTTATATCACACAACACTAAATCGTCAACAAAGAAACGCAACTCTATAAAGTGGGCCAAGCTCACTTAGGAAAATCTGATGGATGAAGCATACAAAAAAGCTGCATTAAGTTTGGCTTGTACTTTTGATGTAATTTTTGATAACACAAAGATGTCACAACATTGATGAGGAAGAATACTTAGTAATAGGACAGTTTTGAAAGATGGTAAGTTGGATGCATGCTAAGTTTAGGAAAACGGATATTTAATATGGAGGAATTTTACGAACAAACGTGCACTAATTGTGGGTATCTTAAGAAGAATTTGGGCGGAAATAGAGTTTAGGTGTCGCAATCTGAACTTCGGATTAAATAGGGACTTAAATGGCACCAGGGGGATTTTCCCCCGGGCATTGCTTGATGGAGCGTAATATAATTACACTTATACTAAGGCAACCTCAATAAACCGAATTTTGATAAACCGAAACACTAATTAAAACCATAATAAACCGGATTTGGTCCAAAAACAATTATAGTAAAGCTTTCTCGATAAACCGAATTTACTAATTAAATATCGGTACGAATTTTCCGAAATTTTATTAGTAGTCCCGACCACTTCGGTTTATCGAGGTTGCCTTAGTAATTAGCCATAGTTATCGATTCAATCTCTACATATTTTTATCAAGTATTTTTTGATCGGTTAAAGTATCTTTTGAGTGATCTTAGAGAGGACTATTTTTTTACATGTACTTTATCTAGAGATACGGAACTTCATACATACAACTTATATAATATTCTACTAGACAAAAACTAATCATAATAAAATCGAACTGCATGTAATATATAAAATTATGCAAGTGATAATGATTTAAAATGAGCCATCTCCACTTTTATCTGATATCAAAGTTGATTTAGTAAACAATTGGAAATGCTTTCGTGTAACGTATCATGTAATGTGGTATGTAACCGCAAATTGATTTACATGTATATATTAATACATATTTTCGAACAAACGTATTGTAGAATCCAATTCGATCGTTATTCCAACAAAAAATGTCAACCACAGTTTTCTTTAATATTATTCAAATATTTCTAGGTTTAATATTTTTGAGATACGTCTATAATGTAAGTGATGAACAATGGAAATTTGAACTTTACAATGACAAAAAGAGGTGGACCAATTATTAATCATTAAAACAGACAATTTATAAAGCGTATTTTGGTCCACTATCGAAAATTCCGGGACCAAAATTGTTCGCGCTACATAGATTTTTTTTTGACGGAAAATTATTAAGTGGTAACAGGTAATTAGATGCAACATTTATTGATCGTTTGATTGTAAGAAAGCAAATTGTTTATTTCATATTTAAATTTATTTCTAAGATGGAGACTTGTACAATTTGTGTTTCGTCCTAAATATGGATCAATCATTCGTGTTGGTAAGTATTTTGAACAATTGTATTGAATTCATTCATTTTGACTGATTTTCGATGATCTTTTAGCTCCAGAAGCGATTTTAATCTCAGATCGGGACGAAATCAAAAAGGTAAAGTAAAGAATGTCTCTTGAATGTCTTTGTTGTTATTTGAAGATTGTTGTTTTCTAAACAATATTTACCTTTTATGCATAGCTTATAGTCATTGAGGTAAACTTGATCTCTATTCAGTTCAGTTAATTATTTTTTTATTCTATAATTTTAACAAAAATATTTTTGTGATTCATTAGGATTTTCCAAAAGCGCCTCGTTATGCCGGTGTAAGAAGAGAACTTCAAGCCGAAACTTTATTTACTGCGACGTAAGAGTTTCTTTAATTGATTTTTATCGTTATGAAGTTAGATGTAAAATATGGGTTTATAAAATTGTTGTTAAATTTAGGACCAAAACATTTCATAAAGAACGGGTAAAACTATTTTGTACTTCGTTTAATAATTGAAGGAATTTTTTCAAATTTGAATATTTCAAATCATAGCGACGATTATTATCTCCCGCTTTCGCAATGAAATATCTCACATCCCTCGATCCGCTTATAAAAATATGCATTCGCGATTTAATAATAAAAATTGATCAAACGATCGAGAAAGAAGGGTCCAATGTCAGTGGCGTAATGATAAATATTTACGGGATATTGCTTAATTGTGCTTTGGTAATGATAAACTTTTAGAAAACGTGACTTAACCTTAAATAGAGTATTATTAGATTGTAATTGTTATTTACGAAATTTAGGATGTCATTGGCGAAACAGCATTTGGCGGAAAGTTTGATATGATTTTGACAGGTACACATCCACTGCCATATGAAGCTGGAGAAGCACTTCGACGACGTCTAGCGGTATTGTAAAAAAAACTTTTTTTCAAATCGATTGATCGTTTCCTACAATTAATAAACTTATTTTAATAGCGGACAATAAGCCCTCTATTGAAACCATTTTTTGGCGATAGGGAATACCTGTATACGGTAATGAGTAAACAGCAATTAATTTATGCGACTTTTTAATTAATCAAATGCTTCTAATAGTTTGTAGGTGACCTCGTAAAAAAACGACGTCAAGAAACAAATCCATCACGCCAGGATATACTGCAGATCGTTCTTGACGCGCAAAAAGAATCAGGGATGACCGATCTCGAAGTTTTTGATCAAACAGTAGAATTTTTGTATGTTACGCTCGTTTCATTTTTATTTGTTAAAATAACTAACTTCATATTTGAAATAACATTTTAGAATTGCTGGAAGCGACTCTACGGCATTTTGTACTGCAATGGCAATAATTACACTTGCCAGAAATAAAGAAAAACTACAAAAATTATACGACGAACTAAAAGCTGCAATTCCTTCAGTTGATCCCGATAATTTGCCGGATCATGAGACGTTGAAACGACTGCCCTATTTAAATGCTGTTATCTATGAATCACTGCGATTATACCCGGCTACTTTTGGTATGTGAACTAATTCATTTACCTTTTTCATTGAGTTATGGAAATTAAGGCTAATTCATTTTTTCATACGATTTGTTTTGTCGATTAGAAATAGGTAATCATTAACTTTCCGACTTTAACTTGTGTTTGGCATTTTAATAATATTTTGTTATTATTAAGGATCCGGTCGAATAATCGATAAAGACATAATCCTAAAAGGACACCTAATTCCGAAGGGTGTATGTATTTTACAATTTTTCCTTTTAAATAAACTAAAATTAAACTATTTATTTTCTAGACATACATAGGAACTAATATTTACGCGCTACATCATTCAACTGAATACTGGGGTGAAGACGTTAACGAATTTGTTCCCGAACGATGGTTAGATCCTGAAAACATCCCGCGTGACGCGTATATGCCTTTTTCAGCTGGTTAGTTAAATTTTATTTCTTGTTTTCTGTAGTTCGACTTTTTATAATATTCTTCTAACGTACATTTTTTTCTCAATTCAAATATTTTATAAGGCTCGAGGAATTGTATAGGACAAAAGTAGGTTATTAAAATTTCATTAAGCGCATTTTTTTAGAATTATTATTTTAGCCAGTCTTTAATTTGCCTCAAATTTAATAGTTTTGCGCTACTTGAAATCCGGCTAATTATTGCGGCACTAGTATCTCGGTATAGAATAGTTGATATCCCTGGACAAGATTTAGATATCGTACAATTTCTTGCTCCTCGACTTCGTAATAGAAAATATAATATGGGATTTGCTTTCAGAAAGTAAAACAATCATGCTGTAGTTCTCTGATAGATTTTATCGGACTTTTATAAAAAAAGTTAATATTTATTTAACTTTTATATGCTATGCAAAATTAATGTTCACTTTTTAAAACATGCAACGAAAATACCAGAATGCACTATATTGGAACATACAGCGCAGTGGATTAAGGTTATTAGACTTAACAAGCTTAGAAAAAACTGACCAAACTACAGTTTTATTAATAATTCAATCAGTTTGGGTTTCAACACTTTATATACAATGTCCTCATTTATGAAAACGGACGCGAATACCCTACAGCGCATATAATAAATCCAATTTTTAATTTAGTTGCTGACCCGTAACCTGATAAATAAATTTACATGTACTTGCGGAATACTCCATTTAATATGTGAAATTCTAAAATTTACATGTGGAATTCGCGAAAATTTAAAATCGTGTGCGGTCTCCACAAGTTAATTTTATACATATAATTTAGTCACATCAACCGAATTTTGGTCAATATTATTATGTTAATAGAGAATGACGAATCTTCCGGATGAGCTGATCTTTAGCTGTATCGGTATCAGCCGTATGCCCGGACCGCATTCAAGAGTGTATTGATAAGAAGGGAGGAAATTCTCAATATTGGCCATATTGCCCTATTTCGGAAATAAATTATTTTATGTGTTTATTATGTATTTTTGTTTGTATATAACCAATTACATGTTCTAGGATAACCTAAATAGCCAGGTCTATATTATCTTCTGTTTTAATTAGTTATTTCGGTTAATCGTGTTTTTAATGTTCATTTTATCGAAAGTTTGCCTTAACAAACAAATTTAAAATCTATTAATTTAAAATGAAAAATAATTTATATTTACAAATGATAAAAGTACTTTGATATCTTGCTTGAATTTAGATACCGAAGTATGATCCCTTCTCTGCTGCAAGAGAGTCTGGGTCTTTTACAGGTAATTTATTATCATTTTGATTAATGTATGCGAGATTTCATTATTATCTACTTTATAAAATTTACAAATTTCACAAATAATCAATGTATGTGAGAATAATTTTTTGACAGCATAAACCGAACAAACACGAAAAAAATGAAAGAGGGAAAATTAAAAAATTTTTCGTTTAAAATTAGGTTTGTATCATGCTGCGAAGTCAATCTGTGAATGATTGTAAATCACGTGTATTAAAATGCACATTCCCGAATAAATATGCGTGTAACTTTTGAGGAGAGATAACGATAACGGCGCAGCATTGGAATCATTTAAAAGAATGATTTCCTTATTTGGGGAATTAGTGTGACAAATATAAAGTAAAAAGTTATTTTTACGCAAAAAAAGGAATTTACGTAATACATGTAGTAAAGGTGTCTTGGTGGAACCATAAAATATGGGAGCACCTTTATCAACACTTAACGAAACCATTTTCATCAACAATACTGAAATAACTTTACCATCATCATCAACAGATACTATAAAAAACGGTAGTAATTGTCATAATACAAATATTATTCCAATATTCATGTCTTCTACTGGCCAATCGACACAAGCAATTACTCATGTGATCCCGCCTGAATTATTTATTGACGTTTTTAAAAATATTCCACCACAAGAACTATTTGTGGTAGCCCAAGTTTGTAAATTATTTAGAGCTATTTTATTATCCAATCAGAATATATGGAGAACCTCTCGATTATCTTTTTGGCCGCATTTGCCTTTACCGCCACCTGATGGAATGGATGAACCTGCGTATATTCAACTCGCGATGTTAGAAAAAGGATGTCAGTTCTGTAGAAAACGAAAATCCGGATTAAAAGTTTATTGGGCGTTTCAAGTACGATGTTGTAAAGATTGTTTGGCTGATATGACAATCAGGTAACGAAAAACATTTTTTATTTTTTAAATCTTATATTAACTTCTATTTATTTTTAACTCGTAATCAAGTGATTTCGGTCTTTGGAGTGAAACTTCAAAAGAATTATCTTCAACAGATAATGACGCTCCTCCAATCTATCCTAACATTTATGCTCAATTACCTTATATCGTGGTCAATGGATTTTATGGGGAGGAAACGAGATATCGTACGGCAGACGTAAAAATGGCACTCACAAAATATGAATCTAATCCCGAGGAATACCTTGCCGAGCTAGTTGACGTCTTAAAGGCAGAGAATCTTAAAACATTTATGGCAGCTGTTGAATTACGAACTGCGGCTGATGATGAGGCGAGAGTTCATATTATTGAGGAGCGAAAGGATCGCATAGAGTCAATACTTGAAGAGTTTTCCAATGATATAAACGAGGATGGGCTACCTCTTTATGAACCTGACGTTCTTGAAAAGTGTCCCTCGTACAAGGAAGAAATTAGTTTACTTGATCAGCCATTCACGCCTAAAGATGAAATATCATTCAGGAATAAGTTGAAATACGAGCATGAAAATCTTGCTAGTGAAATTGCAGTCAGATATCGCCAAGAAGATATTCTTCATGAAATTTGGGAATTGATTCCGAGCGTTGAAGGATGCAGCATTGATTGTGAAAACCCAAAACATATCGAAAAACGTGCAAAAGAGAAAGCGCAAAAATCTCAGCCCCCTTCGTACATCATACCAACGACTGATTGCATCTTTGACTGCATCGATTGGTGTCCATCTTTCACTAATCCTCCGTTTGTGAATAATGATCCAAGAAATAATTGGAGTAAAGAATTTCTAGTCTATTACCTGATCCCGAAACTTCGACAGGAAGCTATCGAGGTGCAGAAAAACGTTCGTCCGTTACCTTATTGGACTGTAAAAGGTGCTGCTGAACATAAAATTTTATCGGTCGCCAAAGTTTTTCGGTGTCGATTGTGTTATGACAATAATCGTGTCTTTGATTATCGTGGTGTTGATGCTCATTTGCAGAATAGAATTCACAGTCCTGGAGCTTTGGATACTATGGAGATCGCGGAAGTTGATGTAATGCGTGCTTTGAAAGCAATTTGTAAAGTTTGAATATGTATTTATAGTATTTATTAATTTAGGAAAATTATGTCATTTCTTTAGTAAAAAAATTTCTTTATTATCTTATAAACTGTTTTCTTGTTTATACTTGATTTTTGGCTAATATAATTTAATATGGAAAAATTGCCTACACAAATTTTTCAACATCTAATTCTGAAAATTATTTCTATATTAAATTGTATAATTTAAAACAAAATACTTTTAATTTGTAATTACTACAGAGAATAAGAAAAAGTCCAAACCGATATTATCCAACAACATATAAGCACACTATTAATAACGCCACCGCCACGCATATGGCTCGCATCGCTATGTTTCGTGTCACCAGAGATTCTCGGATTCCAAAGTAACCAATATTCATCACTAGTCTGACTCTCTGCTAGAGTATTCGTGAGGATTGAGGAAAATGAATTCCCGTAATATTCTTGTGCTAAGTAAAGTGGGATGAGGCACTCCGATCGATTGTCACTTGGGCTCAATGATTCGTTTGCAACGTAGTTTATTGCGTCTTGTATTGTGGCACCAGATGAAGTTTTTAGAGTCCATAGGTTTGGTCCTTTCAAACGTTCTGATAATTGAGCAATATAAGTTAACCCTACCAAATTAAAGCATTGGTAATGCCATGGCCGCTATTTTAAAAAATGAAATTAATAAGAAAATTCAAAGAATTTTTTCATAAAACAAAATGTTTATTTAGTACTTACAGTTCTTCGACTTTCCAAAGGCTGATCCCCATTTTTCGAAATTTGTGATTGGAATTGTTTATTAACAAATTGCTTTATTACTTGAACTGCCTCATCGTCTTTTCCAATATAATCCAGATAAGTCGCCAATTGAACAACATAATATGTTCCATGATTATTAGGTGCTGCACCTTCTGTTTTTCCAATACTTGAATTTTGAAGCCAGTCGATGTATTGTGTAAACCAGTTTTTCATACCATTGTCCATATCCGAGTTCCATGATGTCGAGTTCTTTAGTATTTGTATTGATGGAGGTATATAAACCTAATAAACCCAAGAATTATAATTAACAATTATAAAATTTTTAGTCTGATAATGCTTTAACTGTTAAATATATTTACGAAATTCCTCAAATCCAGGATTCCTTCAGCTCTCCCTGTCCAATTCCCTGGACCCCTTATGACTTGTCCATATTCAACATTCGGTGCCATTGCTGTATCATTGTTCAAAAACCAAACTTGCAACAATTGTATAGCTTTTATAGCATATTTTTCATCACCAAATAAAGCATAAGAAATCGATAACGAAAAAACATCATCGATCATAGATACAGAAGCTGTCGGATCTGAAAGGTCATTTAAATCGGGAATGTACTGTCCGTCTCGTTGTTTATACGGACAGTTATGCGCTGGATCTTTAGCTAAATTACTAGGCACTCCACTACAATCAGGCCACCAATATACAGCCCATGAATAATAGTAATGTTTATCACCATTGGGTGGAATTTGAGTTGTATTTGTGACAGAGTATGGATTTTTGTTCTGAAGTGCTTTATTTGTGTTTGATTTTAACGAAGCTAATATCGGGTTCGCTACCTTTGAATTTGTTAAGTTGTTCTTTTTGAAATATTGAAGCCCGTCAAAGTCAATCAAATCAGGTTGAAGTCCAGCTTTAAAAAAACTTTATTAATACTGTTTCAAAGATTTTAACGAAAATTTTATCATACACACCTGCACAATAAAATCCTATCGCTATTAAAAAAAAGATTGTTGTAAATACATGAATATTATTTATTTTCATATTTGAAACTTTAATAACATCAATTTTAATAATCTTTCAACAAAACGCTCAAGTGTTGTATTTAATGAGACACGTTTCATGTTCTTTAATTCATTACTAAATAAAGGTTTTATTGATTTGTTTATAGTCATACTCGGAGATTGTGTACATGAATGAACAAATCCAATACGGTGCGCAAATTTTTTATCAACAACCAATAAGAATACATGTAATAATAATACACAAATTTTTGATCAACCCGGAAAAACAAATCCGACTCGAAAAGATGAACAAAGTGAAAGTTACGAAAAATAAATCTGTCTTGAACTATTAATAAAGAATTATCCTTATCCTGACTCTAATTGGACGTAATCAAAATTCAAAATTCAAATTGATAGAAAGAAGAGGTACTGCACATAATTAAGCAAGTATGCAATTATGAAATATATATGAAATAAATTCAAATTGATATGTAAATAATTTATATGCCTTTAAATTTAAGTTGTTTATTAATCTTCAAGATAATAAAATTTTACAATAATTTATTAATAAGCTTTTTTATTAAATCTTGAACTCATTTTTTAAATATTTTATTTTGCAAAGAATTATATTAATTAAATTATTAACAAGTAAATAATCATTACAATTTCAGATGCAATAAACAATTAGAAAAAAAAGTATTAAATTTATAATATTAAAATTATAAGTAATTAATTAATTAACTTTTAATATAAAGAAATCTTATCAAGTAAAAGTAAAAGATCTTATTTTATGCAATATTTTCAAAAAATTATATATTTTAGAACAATAAACTGAATAAAGATTTGTTTTTTTTAAAATAAATAAAAATATTAAAAATAACAGGAAAATTTTATAAGAAAATTGATTAGTTATATATTTAAAATGATTATTTTAATAAAGATATAGAATAAATTTTAAAAAAAAATAAATATCAGTTATATTAAAAAAGCTTTTTATTTTTAAATTTTATAATTCTAATTCTAATTAAAATATTATAATAATCACTTTTTCAAATAAAGAATTTTCTGAAAAAAATAAGTTAAAGTTATTTTTTAAATTTTTCTTTAATCTTATATATTTGATTTCAAAATAATAGTACTCAAAAACCTATTCTATTTTAATAAATATATATTTAAAAAGAGTTTCTTGATATTAAAAGACTTAATATTTTAATTAAATACTTTATTATAAATAATACTTATAAGTTTATCTTTACTTAATTATTTTTGATTTTATATTATTATTGCAACAATAAGTCTTATCGATTTAATTTTAATAATTATTAATTAGTTAAAATCATTTAAATCTATTATTTGAAATCTTCTTTAAATCAATATTACAAACATATATTTTTCTATGATGAAATATTTATAATTTCTAAATTTTCTATATCATAATATTTAAATAATTTTAGTTAAATTTGCTTATTAATAACTTTGATGCTTTCAAATTTAATATTCTTTTACAATATAATCTTTAAAAGTCACAAATTTCTTAGTTTTTTTTAACATTTTGACATAATAAACTATTATAATTCAATAGTGAATAAATCCTATTAAGGTATAAATTCTGTAATTAATTATTTTCTCTTTAAACAAATGTTTATAATCATTACACACTGTTAAATCATGGTTGCAAATTTCAAATTTGAACATAACGTTAATATGTGTATTATAGAAAATAAATACATGTATATGTACTGAAATAATAAAACAAAAGCTTATGGTAATGTTCCATTAATTCCATTATTTATTCTATTAAGGGTTTTTTTAGGGACTAAAAAATGATAAGAGAATGTAAATAATTTACTTATAACAAACAAAACATTAAAGGTAATTAATCTGAATATTATATATACTTGCGGCTTCCATGTATCGACGCGTGACATCAACAGCCACTTCAACAGATGCATGACATCCGGCTTCCGTTGACTCGACAACTGCCATATACATCGGATAAAATGAGATCAACAAGATTATTGCAACAAGTAGAATATCTCCCACCACTATCAACGGTACAAGGGCAATGGTCATCACCACAAATCCAAGAAACGTGACAATTGCATAAAAAATATCCAATGTTGCAAAAGTTTTCCACAGAATAATTTCACATCGAATTAATAATGGAATGTAGAATATAATCGCAACAATCACTGTGGTTGGCACAGTGACAAAAAAGTAAAATGGGAAAATAGATACGCCTACTACGAGACGCCAAAAAGCAAAATCTATTGTATTTCCTTGGTATCGTTTTTCATCGTTTACTATTTCTGGTATTATTTTCGAGTGAGCTGACCACATTCCCACGGATAATTGTAATGCAGAATTGAATGGAGCAGCTGCCGGTGATTCTGTTAAATATGACCAGCGCTCTTCCAGATCAGGGTTATCAGCATTTAGTTCTACCAAATCATGGCCTCGCGCTCGATGATACAAATAATAAACTAATGCGGCTGTTTGAGAAATATCGTATAAATGATCCTCACTTCGCACCGAATGTTCGATAATTGGACCCAACAGCACAATCCAAATCGTATAAGTCACACATACTAAAACTCCGACCGGCAAATAGAGTACGATCAGAACAGGAGAAAATAGAAATACCACGAATTTCAAGTTTGATCCAATATGTTTATTGAAGTAGATGTATCGATAAACGTTGCCAACAAATGCTGGAAACCAGATTAGCAGAATGAAGATATTTGGTATGAGACATAATGCGAGTATTGGTAATATATATAGCGCTGCGTCAAGTAATATTAGATGAACACAGTAAAGAAACCGAAGTGCGTCATGATAGTCCGGCATTTTGTTTTGGCGTTTTACTTTTACTCAAGTGCTTTTAATCAATAAAATAATTACGATTATGTATCATCAGTATTATTTTTTTACACAAACTGTTTGTGTCTATAAACGTGACAACGCCCAGATAACATGTACATGTACTTGCATTGCATATCGATTTTATCAAATATGGTTTAAAAAGTTATCTGTGACGAATATCTTAACCAATCAAATAAATTAAATTAATAAAAATTTTTTATATGTAATTCTTGTAATTAAAAGCTTGCAAGATATTTTTTTATAAATTAATATAGTATTTTATAATTTAATAGATATTATTAAGAATAATTATATATTAATTTTGTATATAATTATAATTGTCTTATATAATTTCAATGTTTGTATATATTATAAGAAAGAAGTTATTTTAAATCTAGATTTTAAATTAATTATGAAAAATATTTTGTTACAGTAATAACAAAAGAATCTCTAATTTCATAATCTTGAAAGGCTATGCCAAATTATATAATTTATAATTTCTATTTATTATTTAGATATTTATCATGTTTCTATTTTATTTTTATCAATTCTAATAATCTAATAAGTAATTATACAATAATTAACTAAAAACAGAAAATAAAATAAAAATCTAAATTATAAAAATTTTTCAAATTTGAAATAAGTAAAAATTTAAAAAGTAAAAATAACTCAAATTTGAAATAGATAAAAATTATTTAAATTATGAATAAAATGAAAAAAAATACTATAAATATAAAATTCTAATTTAAAATATATAGATATATATTATTATTACAAATATATGATACTTATTTATTACTAATATTTTATTAAGTTACAGTTGGTGACATAAAGATTTGAACTTTTTTGTGATACACAAAAAATATTGTAGGTAAGTCATTTTTGCATTATTTTTAAAATTATTTTTACTATATAATATCTTATGATCTATAATACTAATATATATAAATTTATATCAACTTTATTTGTTATAATTAGTACTTGTTAATAAATAATATCATATAATACTATTCTTGAGAAATAAAGAACTGTCATAAGTGAATTATAAGAAAATAATATTTGAAAACTGACTGAAATCATAAAGATTACAGATTATTCCAAATCTACTATTTATAATCTTATTAAAATCTCAAAGAAAATGGCAAAATTATACTTCATTTTATTTCTGGAAGACCTCCTATTCTCTCTGCTCAAAATTAGTATCATCTGGATCAACTTGTTCAAACTAATTAAGTAATTTTTATACTTGAAATGAAAAATAAACTTATCAAAATTAATTTAAATCTTAATATATCTACTTGTACTATTCAACATACTCTAAAAAAAATCTTAAATATATTATTTATAGATCACAAAGTATTTCACTTTTCAAGCAAGATCATATTACTTCTCATCTTCAATTAGATCAAAAATATATCAACGATAACTGAAACCAAATAATTTTTTCAGATAAAATCATACTTCAAATATTCTAGAATATTTTATTAGTATGATATTATTATAAAGATTAAAGTTCATATCAATCCATGATAAAATATCCATATAAAGTTCATGTTTGGAGTATATTTTATTTACAAAGACTGATCATATTATTTTTATTTACAAAAATTTAAATTATCATAAATACTATGAAATTCTTGAATCCTATCTGTTTTCAAATATTTATAAAGCTGGTTTCAAATAATATTTTCAATAGGATAACTCTCTCATTTATACTGCTAGTAATACAAAAAATCTTCTTGAAGCATATTGAATTTGTGTGATTAATTAACTTGCAAATTCTCCTAATTTGAATCTTATTAAGAATTTATAGGCAATACTTAAACAAAAAGTTGAAAAAAAGGTTAATATTCATATAATTAAAAAAAATTTATCTGTTAATGAATTTTAAGAAATAATTAGACAAGAATAGAATAATATCAATCCTGATATCTTTCTTAAGTTAACAAAAAGCATAAAAAATTATATTAGTTAGCTAATTATCAATAATGAGAAGAAAATAAATTATTAGTAGCTATGTAATTATATTCATTATGTATTTGGCTATATTCTAAAAAAAATTTATTATTAAAAAATAAGTAAATAAATTTTTTTATAAATATAAATAAATTTCTGAATCTTTATATCACCAACTGTATAATGACTAGATATAATTTATAAATTATAATTATATAATATTATTTATTATTAAATTAAGAATATAATTATATTATATTATTTTATAATAGAAATTTTTATTTTAAAATATATTTAATAGAAGAAAGTTACTGGATAATTTATAAATTTCAAGTATATATATTAATTTATTTTATATATTTCATAATTCATCTCAATTAAATAATCAAATAACTGAAAAATATATAAATTAAATTATAAATACTAAGATATTATATTCTAAAATAACTATAATTCAGTACAAAAATATTTATATCTCATAATAATCTTAATAAAAATAGTTTTTATATATATTTTTTTTTAAAAAAAATAAAAAATTAATAGATATTCAAATTTATTATATTATAAGAATTTTATTAAAATTTATTATTATTATTAAAATTATTATTATTATTTATTTTTCAACTAATAAAATTATATTATTATCTAATTTTTTATATTCTTTTGCTCTTATACTTTTTTCTATAATTCTACTATTACTTTTAATATTATTTTTTCTTTAAAAGCTTATTTCTAATTTCTAAGAAATTCAAATATAAATCTAACTTTGTTATCTCATCTTTTATTATTATTTAAATATTCTTAATTGGCTAAAGCTCACAATAGTAAAAAAAAATATAAAATAAACTTGATAATTATATTATTTTACTATTTTAATACAAATAAATAAAATTTTTTTTATTTTTCTGCACAAGTTCTAGAAGTTCAGATTTTTATAATCTATTAAAAAAAAATTTTATAAGTTATTAATCAGTTAGTTATTTTCTTTTTTTTAATACTTAAAATTGAAAATTTTTTAATTCTTTACTTATAATAATATATATTATTTATATAAATATTTACTTGACTATATATTTTATTAATTATTTTATAAAGCATTATAAAAAGATTTGTAAAAATATTAGTATTAAAGTTTTTATAATAGTTTGCTCAATTAGAAATAATATTAGTATTTTAATAATATCTGAAATATTATTTTATTCTTTAATGTAATAATTTTGATTAGATTATCTTCCTTTAGATCTCTTTTAATTTAGTTCTTCATTTTGCACTATTTGTATAACAGATTAGCTTTATATTACATTTTCAAGAAGATCATTTTCACTCTGGATATATAAATGATTATTATGTATTAAATACATCTAGATTTAGCATATTATTACTCAGATGATCACTATGTGTATTATAATTACAAATTTAGATTATTAATATTTTAATCAATTATTTCTTTTAATAATTCTTTATTTTCTTACTCATTCTCTTTTATTATTATTTATATCATTATTTATTATTATTTATAATATCATTAATTATTGAATCATGATTAGTTGCCCACTGGAGATGCAAATTAAGTTAATTAATTCTGTTCAACCTATATATATTTTATTTATAGATTATTATCAATTTATTTATATTTTGTATTTATTTCTTTCTTATAAATAAGATCTCTTTATTTTGTACTTTTACCTTCAGATCTGAATACTTTTAAATAATAAAAATAATTATAAATTATAAAAATTAAAACTTATTTATATCATATTTTATCTTGTTTATAACTATTAACAAAATAATCTTATAACTTGGTAGTAGTAAACATAATTATTATAAATATCAGTTTCTAGCATCTTACACATTATATACTATATATATACTTTATATACATGCACCTTAGTTTTAGTTAAAATAATATTTAGTTAGAATAAACACAGAATAATTCATATAATTCATGACAAGCATTACTGAATTAATCAAGACTGTAAAAAAAGATAGTCCTTCTGGTTCTAAACCTACACCTTGCCTCTCAGTAAAACTACCTACCTATTTTGGAGAATCTAATGAGAATGTACTTATCTGAATAATGCAAGTATAACATTTTAATTAGATTATCTTTCTTTAGATCTCTTTTAGCTTAGATCTTTATTTTGTGCTATCTGTATAACAGATTAGCTTTGTATTATATTTTTAAGAAGATCATTTTCACTCTGAATATACAAATGATTATTATATATTTAATACATCTAGATTTAGCACATTATTACTCAGATGATTACTATATGTATCACAATTATTAATTTAGATTATTAATATTTTTA